GTTTCCTCCTTTGACAAATGAAGAGAATAATGATACTCACTTTCCAGGGTTGGTTTGGGATCAAATGGGATAATGTAAGTAAGATATTGCATAAATGTGAGCTATACAAAGAACTGGAACTAGAAGCTAAAGGGGTGTCTGCTGATTAGGGGATGACTGAAAAAACTCCAGCTATTTCACACACACACACACACACACACACAGAGTTTTTTTTGCTAGGCAATGGGGTTAAGTGATTTTGCCCAGGGTCACATAGCTAGTAAGTGTCAAGTGTCTGAGGCTGGATTTGAACTCAGATCTTCCTGACTCCAAGGCTGGTGCTCTATCCATTGCATCACCTAGCTGCCCTCCAGCTATGACATATTAATGGAGTATTATTGTGCAGTCAAAAAACAAAGAATGTGAAGAATTCAGCAAAACATGGGAAGAATTGTATGAATTGATGTTAGGTGAAATAATAACCCCTCCAATTGCATGCATAATGACTTCAATAATGGCCTCTAAGACCAGACCCCCTACTCACAATCACATTGACCAGTTGGATTCCCAGAAGGCAAGGATGACTAATCCATCCTGAAGGTTTGTGGCTTCTAACACTGTGCTTCTGAGCCCCCACCAGTGGGGTTCCCACCATCAACCAGTTAAATTCCATCAGCTTTAAGGAGAAAAAGAGGTTTACTGAGAAGGTATGTCAAGAACAGTAGTTACAAAAACAATTCCTCTGTTACCAGGAGCGTGCCCTCCCCTTGTGCACATGAGATCCCCAAAGAGAGTGGTGCCAAATTTAAAGTACAATAGGAGTGAGGGACACTACCGCTGTGGAGACCATCGCCACTGCCTCTTGTTTCCCTTAAGACTTCTGTTGGAATCATGGGATCTCATGAACTCCTAAGATCCTTTGGGCACTACTCTCTTGTAATACTCATTCACCTAAGATAAGGAAAGAATAAGCAAAAAAGAAGCAGACTGCTATGTGTTCGGAACACATGGCTTTTCGATAAGGGAATGAGGCCAGCTGGCACTCCTTCACCTGGTGGCTAACAGCAGTCCTCACCTCACTCACCACCAGGAAAAGAAAGGGAGTAAGAAATCATTCCTTTTTTATGAACTTAGTTCCAGATCTGTACCTCCTCAATCATCAGTTATTATGGCTTTGCAGCCAAGTAGAATACTTTTTTATCAACACACAGTTCTAACCACCCAATCACCCATGGCTGGAAATAAGCTTCCAAAGTTCCATACATTGGATTGGAACTGAACAGGGAATATCTGCACATACTCTGTATAATTTACTAGGAAGGGCACATCTGAGCACACTCTAAGGGCTGGACCCTCATTGGCCAATCCCTCCATTACCAATGGAAATAAAAAAGATCAATGAAAGGAAGCCAAACTGAATAATTTGCTTTTACTTTGTATATGTTTTGTATCTTTTTCTATGTGTGTATTTTGTTTCCCTTAGTAAATCATAAGCCCCTTGAGGGCAGAGACACTATTGTTTTGGTATTCGTGTCCCCAGGACTTAGCACAGTGCGTAACACATAATACTTAATAAGTATTAAATACTTATAAGATACTTAATAAGTGCATGTTGGTTGATTGATTGAAAAATGAATAACGGTCCCAGAAAACAGAAAATGAAACACATTTCCATCTTCCCAGTAGAGAGGCAGGGGACTACTGTGGGAGGATCGGGGGATAGAATGCTACACACATTGTCTGACAGAGGTTCAGTATGTTGCTTGTTAGGATCATAGATCTTAACGTTAATTTGGAACTGGAAGGGACCTCAGAAGCCAACTTCAGTTCGAGCTCATTTTACAGATGAGGAAACTGAGGTGAGTTTTTAAGTCAAATAGGCAGTGATTTGCTCAATTATTTGCCTTTGTTACAAGAGAGTTTAATTCAGAGAGTGGGGATAAGGGGCGGCACATCCAGAAATGACTAGGATGTTAATATCAAAAAACTCCAATAATATTTTATTTTTAAAAATATGAGATATTAGTTATTGGTATATAATCCCCCACAACCCAGTTGATGTAGTTACTCAATTTAGTTAAAGACAAAGTGTTGGGGCAGCTAGGTGGTACAGTGAATAGAGCTCTGGCCTTGAAGTCAGAAGGACCTGAGTTCAAATCTAGCCTCAGACACTTGACATTTACTAGCTGTGTGACCCTGGGCAAGTCTCTTAACCTCAACTGCCTCACCAAAAGTAAAAAAAAAATATATAAGGTGTTAATGTGATAGAAAGCACTAAATTAACTGTAAGATTTTGGTCATGACTTTATGAGATTTAAAAAAAAAGAACTCCATTGAGTGGATCAGAGAGGGACAATATGATTGGCTGAGAAACAAATTAGTCACACCTCTGGGTCTTTAAATAACTAAGTCAGAAGAAGTTCAGGCAGTAAAATAGATCTTGATTGGTGCAAATCATGAACCTTGTGAAATGGTTGCATTATTTGAATTTGCACTATTTGAAGTTATAATTATATGTAAAACAAGGTCATTGGTTCCAGACCAATGGAACTATGCAATGAAAAATCTAAATAATGTAACCACTTCAAAGAATTAATTATTAAAACTAATGGGCTGCACCAGCTCATGAGAACTTTGTGGAAGCTCCCTTTGAGAGGAGAAGACTTTTCCCTCTGTCTCACCTCCAATTGGACAGGATGGTTAAGTACCTACTATGTGCCAGGAACTGTGACAAGCTTTGGCAATATTATTCTCATTTTACAAATGAGGAAACTGAGGTAGATAGAGAATAAGTGACTTGTCCAGAGTCACACAACTAGTGTCTGAGGCCAGATTTTAACTCAGTTATTCCTGACTCCAAGTCTAGCACTCTTATCTACTGTGCTACCTAGTAGGGAAGGAGATAGTCTATCTAGTAGTTCAAGGGTTCATTGGTTCAAAATAGTTCGAGGCATAGAGGTCAGAGACACATTCCAGATATAGGTAGAGAAAAGTAGTCACTTGAGAGAGAAGATTGTTTTATTGAATGGAACTCCTGGCATTTAAGAAAAAAAGCCATTTATGGATCAACGAGATAGCCAACTATACAAATTGAGGGCCATGCCCCAGTGAGGAATAAATGACTGACCCAGTACAGACGTGACATTCAGTAGGGGGCTTCATGAGGGCTCTATGAAGAGAAAAAGGACACTGCGTCCTACAGTTCCTAGAGCTGTGAGTTACCTTGGTCATCTGGTCTCTGCCTGTGTCTCTCACTACCATTATACTCTAAGTTTATACCCACTCTTCACACAGATGTGCGTGTCTTTATGGGAAAGAGAATACATTATAGTTATTGTTCTCTTAGTAAATGTCTGTACTGAGAGCTAATTGTGTCTATTGGGCATTTATTTGGAGAAGCACACTGGTGGGGGCTCATGGACTATCATGTTTGTTGGGCAAAGCCATAGGGTAACCCCAAGAACCCATGAGTGTAGCCTCCCTCCTGAGACCCGATCTGCAAGTTCAACTGCAGGTTTGGGGACTACTCTGGAGTAGGTATCACTACAGCTATTACTATGATTATCCTCATCCCATTTGTAAAAACGAACATGGGCTTATACTTTTTTAAAGGCAGCAGTGTTTGGTCAGCTCTAGAGAAAAACAGTTTCTCAATAACACTAACCTCTCAGCAACCGGGTCAGCATCAGTACACATAGCTACAGAATAAATATGCCCTTTCTGATCGGATTCCATTTGCCAAACTTCTGCCAACTGCATTCTCTTCCCCCAACAACAATAGCCCCCCTAGAACAGCTGGACAGATGATGACTTTTCAAGGTTACGAGAACTCAGTGTCCCAGGTTCTCTTTGCTGGCAGAGAACGTGCCCTTTTGTGAGAGGCTGTCTCTGTCTCCCAGAGCGAGCCCCTCCAAGCCCTTCAGGGTTTCTAATTCCTCCCAAATGCTGGGGCTCTCCTTTAACGCTGCAGCTGTTAGGGAGGAAGTGGAAGGAGCAGCAGAAGGTGGATTAGCTGATAATATTCCAGTTCTCTCCCTCCCTCTCTCCCACCCCACCCTAGCAAATGCTGACACCTGCTTCACACTCTGCTCCGATCCCACATTATGGAAAGGTCACTGGGGCCGCTTGGCTCACAATTTACGGGCTTATGGATTTGGGGAAATTGGTTAGAGCTTTAAAATTCTTTCCGATCCCATCCCTTCCTCTTCTCCACCCCCTCTCCAACCCTCCCCTTTCTAGGAGCATAGGATTATAGAATCATAGATTGAAAGCTGGAAGGGGCCTCAGAGGTCACCTAGTGTAACCCCATCATTTCACAGATGCAGAAATGGAAGCTCAGGGAAGGGAAATGACTTGGGATCTTAGCAGTATATATTTAGCATTAGAAGGGACCTTAAAGGTCATCTGGTCTAACCCCCTCATTTTACAGAAGAGGAAACTGAGTCCCAGAGAGGGGAAATAATGGGATCTTAGGAGCACGGATGAGGAGCAGAAAAGGATGTCAGAGGTCACAGGTCCAACCCTCTTATTTCAAAGTTGCAGAGACGGAGACATGAGGTTACATGCCCAGCATCACAGTAACCAGAACGGATGCCATTCCTCAGCCACACATTCATAGAATCATTTGCGGGAGACCACCTAGGCCGGCTCCTTTATTTTACAAATTGGGGCTACGGTGAGGGAGACGGAGAGGCGAAGTCAGTCAGTAAACATTAGTAAGCACCAAGTCCGTGCCAGGCATCGCCCAAAGCAAAAGGGATAGAAAGAAAAGAAAAAAACCAGTCAGTCAACATTTATATTTGTTGTTGCTATCATTTGGTGTTCTCTGACTCTTTGTGACCCCATGGACCAGACTGTCCACGGGGCTTTCCTGGCAAAGATACTGGAGTGGTTTGCCATTCCCTTCCCCGACAGACTAAGGCAAACAGAGGTGACGTGACTAGCCGAGGGTCACACAGCTAGTAAGTGTCTGAAGTCAGACTGGAACTCATCTTCCTGACTCCAGGCCCAGCGCTCTACCCACTGAGCCACAAAACTGCCTCCTAAACATTTATTAAGTACTTACTATGGGCCAGGCACTGGCCCAAGGCTGGTGCTACAAAAAGAGGTAGAAGACAGTCCCCTGCCCTCAAGGAGATCATAATCTAATGGAAGTAACTTGGCAGAAGACCATCTAGGTGGTAAGAAGGTCCTCAGTGCAGCTCTGAAGACAGTGACCAGCCACTCTTTTGGCTGATGCAACCTTCGTCACAGATTCACTTTCTTCTCACACCACCCTCGAGCTTGGGTGAGTCCCTTTTGAGGTCTATACTCAACTGGAAATACCGGAACTGAAAGGCTCACAGTGGCCAGGTCCAGATTCTGCCAGATGACTTAAATGAAATCATTTTTTTAATGTCTTCAGTCCCACCAAGTTTTCAGTCCAAACTCTGATTTCATCTGCATGGGGAACTCCTGGCATGAAAACTCCCTCTGCCAATGTGGCTAAGTAACTCCTTGGTGAATTGTAGTTACAGCTTCTGCCCTGGAGGTATGGAGGGATTTGCCCAAGGCCACATGGCTAGTATGTATCAATAGAGGGAGGACCTGTAGCTAAGTCTTCCTAAATCCAAGGCTGGCCTATATCCATAATGCTGTCCCACAAACAAGGAGTTAACTCCTTGGAAAGGCAAGGGGAAACAAGTAGCCATGGTCTAAGTAAGAATCGAGAGCTGAAGAGGCCCATGGAGTCAAATCCCTTTATTTGACAGAAGATTGGACTAGCTGAGAAGACTCAGCTACTGGCCTCAGAGAAACTCAGAATGGATTCTGTGACTCACTGCTTAAAGAATGGAGTAGATTCCAAGCCGGCAATTCTAATGGGCTGGGTAGAATACCCTGGCGGTGTGTTCTTTGTAACAGACAATGCTGAAATAGAAAGTTGCCTGGTTGTACAAAAGGTCAGCGATCAAGTGCTGAGATGGACAGGTTGTGTAACTCAGGGAAAGCAGAGGTTTCTAACAAGACTGGGAGTATCCTTCACCCAGACAGGACCAGTTCCAAATAGGCAAGGGCCTCAGAATTAACCAGGTAGACTTCCTTATTTTTCTGGGATCAGATTCACGACTTGAGAAAATGATGGAGTAGTAATATTACGTATGTCATGAGAGGACGCTCTATGAAAATTTCCATGTATGTGCTTAATCCCTGTATATGTTGGATCCCCCACCTCCCCAGGAGCACATAAGCCCCTGTAGGGAAGGAACTGTTGTCTTTGTAAAAATCCAGCCCCTGGCATAGTGCCTACAGTGCATACAGCAGACACTTAATAAATAAGACTTAGATTGGGTTGAGAAATGACACTCATGACCCCGTCAATAAGGTTTGCATTATTGAGTTGTTTTCTTCCAGATGTGTGGATGGGTTTAGGGGATCCATTCAATTGGCAGGCAGGTATTGATTGGTATTCAGGAATCCTGTGGTCACGGAACCAGAATCAAAGTTAACTCCACACAAGCATTTATCATGTAGCTATTGTGAGCTGAGCTCTGGGTTTGAGATACTAAGACAAAACAGAAATGGTCCCTGCCCTTGATGGGCTTACACATTTGGGGGGATGGAAGGCGGCAACATGTGCACTTGTAGAAAATAAATACAAAATAGAGACAAAGTAAATTGGGGGAAGTGCTAAAAACTGGAGAGGGGATCAGAAAAAGGTGATCCTTGGGGATCCAGGGATTCCAAGAGAAGCAAAAGTGAGGAGAGAGAAGATTCCAGACACAGGGAAGGGTACGGATAGGGAGCTGCAGAGCTATGGGAGACTCAAAATGGAATATTATATATACAGCAAGTATATGAAGGGGGGAGATATGAGACATATCTGGAGAGATATGCAGGCCTTTATAGACTCTGTGGGTCTTTATCATGACTCCCACTCACAGATGAGCCAGACCCCTCAAAGGAAGGCTGGATAGCTATTCCCCTTCAAATTTCCAGGGTAACTGTGAGGGGCTGTGGGGTTGTCTCTAATGCATCAGTTCAAGCCCTCGGTCAGGTGAGTTTTCCTCCAATGTCAATCATCAGTTACAGTTAGTACTTCTCTCGTATCACTGATTAACTGAGACTAGCACCCCACTGTCATTTAACCAATATCGATTAGTTTTTCACAAAGGGATGTCTATGGAACAGATACAGCAAGAGCAGAAGTTACAATCAGGGGGAACGTTTTCCCTTTATGCCACCTTAGTCCCTGGGGAGAGTGGGCTCAAACTCAAAGCATTTGGTGACCCAGCAAGCTCATTCCCCAATGCTGCACAGCCAGCAGTTTCAGTAGCTCCAGAAAACGGCATCTTGACTGCAGAGTCCAATCGCTGCTAGGCTGGGGCCTCAGGCTGCGGGTCAGCAAACTCTGCGGTGGTCTTCTTTCCCTGGACTTGCTGAGACCTCACAAGGTCATGCCTCGTCTGTATCATCTCCAACACTCAGTTATTTAAGGGCAGGAGTGGAGAAATGCAACAAGGCAAAGAAACAGAGATGTTGCGGTCATGGTTATGTATCAGCTTGGCTAGGGAGATCAGTAGTTGGTAGCAGGAGGCCACTAATTTGTCTCTCAGCCATAACAGACCCTCCAGCGAGAGGGTGTCTTAAGCCTTTTCCCCACCCAGAGGCCTACAGCACTTCATCCTCCTCAATCACCACCAGGTGAAGAACATGACTGTTACACCTTTGGGAGTCTTCAATGCATTCTCATTTCCAGCCCAGCGGTCAGCTGAAAGACAAGTAGTTAGCAGATGGGAAACAGTCACAGAATAACTGCACATGCTGAAAAATGAAGAAAAGTCTTCCACTCATATGCCCAGGAGCAAGCTCACAAAGCATCCCCATGCTCCCAGGACTGGGCCCGCATTAGCAAGTCCCTGTTGGACTTGGCTGGCGCCAGACTGGGAAGGTCTTTGGCGCCAAACATAAGCTTCTTGAGGGCCAGGACTACTTTTCCCATTGTCTCTGTTCCTCCAGTGCTTAGCACAATACTTGGCACAGAGTAAATACTTCACAAATGCTCTCTGGATTGGATTAGATTAAAAGACGACATTTATGAACTACCCTTAGAAGGGGATAACTTCTCCATTGTTTCTCTAGGGATGGGGATTGCCTGTTGATGAGACATTCCAATGGATGGGGGCCCTCGGGATTCCTCCTTGGCCCTGAAACAGAGTCTGATCCAGCCCAGTCTAATCAACTCCGACTTGGCGCACTCAACGCAAAAAACAGAGTGAGCGTCTGCCATTGCCAGCCACTGAACTAGGTGTAAAGGGTCTAACGGGGGGGGGGGGGGGGGGGGAATCACAACATTTTCTACCCTCAGGGAGCTTTAGCTTCTTCTGGGATAGAACCAAACTCCTGACTTGGGTGTCACCAGCACCCACATTCCAAACCTACCCCAGTGTCCAAGAAAATGCTCGCAGCTAAATCTCCTAGAGAAGGTGATAATGGGGTCATTTTCAGGGAGGGTCAGACTGTCTCTTGTCCCTTGCAGATAAGGTGCCCCCAGGGGGTAGGGATCGATATCCTATTGCTTTCAGTCAGGCCCACCTTAAGCAAGTAAGGGACCCAGGCAGAGGGAGGCCTTGACAGGAGCTACACAATACAATCAAAAAGAAAAAAAAAGGGACATATTAGGGAGGAGATGGCAGCTGACAGAGGGGAAGGGAAGAAGAGACTGTTGAGCAATGTCATGTGAAGGAAATCCTGGGAGGACTAGCTGGCTTCACTCTTCCAATGGCTTCTGCTTTACTTCCAGGAGGCCTGGAATCAGACAGAGCCTGGGATTTGGTGGGGCTTCTGGTCACTCCTCAAAATGAGGCAGGATGAGTATGGGCTGAACTGACTTGAGGAAGAGTGGTTACAATTCTAGGAGACTCGGTGAAGTAAAATGGGGATAATTGTCTCTACCTTAAACTTGCATTCAAAGCCTGCTACCTGACCCTGAGCAAATTCCTTAAACTCTTTAAGGTTCAGCTTTCTCATCTGTAAAATGGGGACGATAATCTCATACTTCCCTCACAGAAATTTTGTGATTATCAAATAAGCTAATATACAGAAATTGGGTTACAAAGTGCTATCTAAAGGAGAGTTCTTACTACATGGACAAAAAAGATTAGAGAAGATGGGACATTTGAGCTGGGTCTTTGAATAGGTTGGGTTCCCCCAGGTGGCTAGAGGTGAATGGGAAGAGGGGAAAAGATGATATTCTAGAAAGAGGGGACTACACGGACAAAGGCACGGTGGTGGGAAAGGTGGGACGTTTAGGGAACCTGGAGTGGTCCAGTGTGGCAGGAGCTTGGGGTGCACTGGGTTGAGAATGGGCTGGAAAAGTCTAAATTGTGCCATATGAGAATCAATTGAAATAACTCGAGATGTTTACCCTTCAGAAGAGAAGCCTGGGGAGAAGGGGGAGAGGAGGAAGACCAGGGAAGAAATAGGTGCCTTCAAGGATCTGAAGGGCTGCCAGGTGGAAAAGCCTTCTGCTTGGCCCCAGATAGTAGAACCAACAGCAATGGCTGGAAACTGTTAAAAAAAAAAAAAAAGCAGGTTTAGGCCTAACACCAGGAAAACCTTCTAAAAATTACAGCTGCCCCAAGATGGCATGGGGGGGGGGAGAAGAGGGGTATTGGGTTCACCCTCAATGGAGGTCTTCAAGCGGCAGCTAGGTGCCCACTTGTTGGAGATGTTTCAGATGGAATTCTCAGTCAGGTACAGTCTGGACTAGCTTCTGTGACTTTAGTTGGGGCCAGACTAGGTAGAGCCTTGAATGTCAGACTGGGAAGTCTAGTTGAGAGATAGGGCAAAGATCTCTGACTTCATCATTGTGGGCAGTACCCTCCACTGATGCATTTGCCAGTCTCTCTTGGGGTTGGCAGATAGTCTTTAAGAATTGCTGTACAGGAACATCCCATCCCTCTGAGGCCAACATAGTGATGAGCCCTTGTGAACTCAGCTAGATTAGTTCTTGGATAAGAGATATCTATCTAATCCTCACGGCTCCTTCTAGCTGGTAGGACCTTTCAGAGCTGGCATTCCACTGGCACAGCCTTCTAGATCCCAGGCTCACCTCTATGACTGGATGCAGCACCCCAGTAAGTCTTTAGGGGAGGGTCTTTAGGAAACAAGTCCTCCTACTTATTCTAGGCTGATCACATATTTCTCCCCTTCATAAACACTGCTCAGACAAACTGGCTGACTTGCTGTTTCCCGCACACAACTCTCACCTCCGTGCTTTTGCAAAATGGTCCCACGTGCCTGGAATGTTCTTCCTCCTTGCCTTTGACTCTTGGAATCCCTCAGTCTCTTATAAAGCTCAGTTCAAATACTACTTCCTAGAAAAGGTATTTTCTGCTCTCCTTCCAGTTTTTGTACACACAATACTACCCCTTGCCCCCACCCTCCCACAATCTTTGAAACCTAGGATGAGTCACTTAAGGTCTCTAAGTCCCTTCTCTCTAAAATTACTTTGTATATGTTTTGTGCTGATTTATCCATATAATCATTGTTTTCCCCAAAAGAATGTCAGGCAACAAGCATTTATTAAGTGCCTACTGTGTGGCAGGCATTGAGCTAAGCACTGGGGATACAAAGAAAGGCAAAAAGACAGTTCCTGTCCTGTCCTCACAGTCTAAGGAGGAGACTTAGCCAACAGAGTCGATAAACATTTATTAAGCTCCGACTATGTACCAGGCACTCTGCTAAGTGCTGAGGATACAAAGAAAGGTAAAAGACAGCCCCTGCCCTCAAGGACCTCACAATCTATTTAAGTAAGAGAACACTTTTTTTTTAAGCTGAAAAGGTGAGGATACCCAGCGTGTGGGCGGCCGAGATAGGAAATGATCTTAGAGGGTATTTATTACAGAGTCGATTTCATCTGGAAGAATGATGAGTTTTTGAAAATCATGAAATCCAGGAAGTCCCTCCTTAGACGTGGAGGACTGGGGAGGAGCTCTTCAATGTCCAACCTCCACCCTCTTCAGTCAGAGGGAAGGAGGGGCCCCAAGGGCTTGGAGTGCTGAGGAGGTGTGTTACAGAGGTGAAAAGCTATATTTAAACAAGATGCAGACAGGATAAATTGGATCAACTCAGAAGAAAGGCACTAGCTTTAAGGGGGATTGGAAATGGACATGGTTCAAGAGCTGGAAAGGACCTCAGAGTTCATCTAGTCCAAAACCCTTTCCCCTATTTTACAGATGAAGGAACTGAGGCTAGGGATGTGAATGACCAAAAACCATCAGTGGCAGGACTTGAACCCAGGTTCTCTGAATCCAGGGTCTGTGTTCTTTCCAACATACCAAGCAGTTTAGAAGGAGAGTAGAGAAATAAATGGAAACATAAGGCCTCAATGGACACATCCATCTTTCTGGAGAGGGTAAAAGAAGCTGCAGGCTCAGTGAGGCCTTCCCTGGTGAGGCAAGAGCAGGGAGAGCCATCTCCTGGTTTGCATGCAAGGGACTGATATGCTTCTGGAGTGCATGCCCGGATGTCAAGGGGCTCTGGCAGACTCTTTAATGAAATCAGCTTGGCTTGCGGTGGGCATGAGCACAGGAAAGAATCCGGGCCATTCATTCCCTCTGGGACCCAACATGACAGATTTGCTTGACTTTCCCCTTGAGAAGGGCCAAGAAAATAGCTTTCTCTCTCTCTCTCTCTCTCTCTCTCTCTCTCTCTCTCTCTCTCTCTCTCTCTCTCACACACACACACACACACACACACACACAACACACACACACACACACACACACACACACTCTCTCTCTCTCTCTCTCTCTCCTCTTCTCTCTCTCTCTCTCTCTCTCTCTCTCTCTGTGTGTCTCTTTGTCCTCTCTCTCACACACACCAACAGCAGACAGGTAGGCAAACAAACACTGGGGCAGACAGAGAAATAAACATGTGGGCAAACAGCCCCTCCCACCCCCATCCCCAAGCTTAGAAGGGCTTGGGACCCGCCTCCCACTGAGAGCTTAAGTGAGAAGTGGGGGAAGGGGAATTTTTTTAGTGTGTTTTGCTGCCACCAAGTGGCAGGACCACATACAGAGGGCTTCAATAGTAATTGTGTACAATATCAGTCACACTGGAAAGGACCTCAGAGGTCAGTCAGTCAATAAACATTTATGAAGCACCTATTATATACTAGGGCCAAGGGGTGGGGAACCTTCGGCCTGGAGGCCGCACGTCGCCCTCTGGGTCCTTCCATGCGGTCCTTCTGACTGAGTCCAAATTTTACAGAACAAACCCTTTCATGAAGGGGATTTGTTTTGTGAAGTTTGGGATTCATTCAAAGGGCCACACTTGAGGACCTAGAGGGCCACATGTAGCTTCGAGGCAGCAGGTTCCCCACCCCTGTGCTAGGCACTGCGCTGACAACAGAGGATACAAAAAGAGGCAAAAGACAGTCCCTGCCCTCAAGGAACTCACAGTCCAAAGGCAGACAGAACATGCAAACTGTACAAAGAAGTTACAGACAGGACAAGCTAGAGCTCGTCAATAGACGGAAGGCATCAGCATTAAGGAGGATTGTCTAATCCAGGGATCCTCCATTTTTTTGATCATACAAAGTTTTGAGAACATCTTCACTATGTATATATTTCCTTGTAAGTTTTGTACAGGTACTATTATATTCATAATTGTGTAGATTATAAACCACAAAAGGAGATAAGAAAGGACAATATAAAGGTAATAATAATATGTGATCCCAGAGCCAGCAGAGAGCCATGGAAGGGACCTGCCTAGACCTTTGATCAGCGGCTGTGCGAAGGATGGTGTGTAGAGGCAGGGAGACCAACCTGAAGGGCATCTAAACAGTCCGGGACAGGGGTGATGAGGGCCTGTACAACAGTGGTGGCAGTGTTGGGGGAGAGAATGGGATGTGTCTGGGAGATGTAGTGGAGGTGACTGAATGGGGATGGCGGGAGTGAGGAGCTGAAGATGACAACAAGGTTGGAAACCCAGGTGACTGAAAAGATGGTGGTGCCCGTGATAATAAATAGAGATGGTGGGGCGGTGGGTTCAAAGGAGCAAGATAACGTAATGAGATCTGTGACGTGGCTTTTAGTTCCTCTCCACGCCGGCTCATCCTCTTTCTCATTAGCCAATGGCCACGTTTCACAAATGTAGAGTATCTATTTTGGAAGGGGCAGGGAGGGTATGTAGAGAGGTTATAAAGAAACCACGTTTCAAGAGCTGGGCAACCATCAGCTGATCTGCCGGGAGGGGAGGGCTCCCGATGACACCTGCCCCACTGCCGTAGGCGCCCGGGCAATGGTTAGTTAGGCTGCAGCCACCTTCGGGGGCTGACACTAGGCTCAGAATGGGGAGATGAAAGCTGGAGGGAAGAGGAAGAGTGGGGGAGTTTGGAGGGGGTAAGGGTAAGTGTGGCTGTGCTAGAAATAAGTGTGAAAATGCTTGTTTTGTTCCATAAATTAAAAATAAAATAAATTTTTTAAAAAAGAAATAAGTGTGATCTATCTTCCTACCCTCTGATTAACCCCCCTGGGGTCAAGCCATGCTCCCCCCTCCCCACATGGCCAGCCCCTTCTTTGGATTTAGTCCAAACTCCTCATTTTACAGATGAGGAAACTGAGGCTCAGATTTAGCCCAGGGTCACACATTTCATAAGGAACAGAGATGGGCTTTGAACCCAGGTCCTCTGACTTTGTATCTAGCTCTCTTTCCACCACACCACACTGTCTCTTCTTTCATTAATAATAACTAGAATTCATTATTATATGATCATACAGCACTTTAAGATTTGCAAAGTGGTTTGCATGCATTATCTTATTAGATGAATTCTACAACTCAAATGAAAAACCATTTATGGAGTGACTGCCATGTCCAAGGCACTGTGCTAGACATTAAGAGACATAAAAAGAAAAATCACTGAATTCTTCCACCCAAAAAATTTTAAAAATAAATTTAAAAATTAAAAAAGACAAATCAAACATGGTTCTGGTCCTTGAGGAGCTTCCCCCAAGTAGGCAAAGTAAGACACATACACAAGTAGATTTCAAAGAAGATGCTCATAAAATCCCAGCGTTAGAGATGAAAGGGACCATTATGGATGGGGAAACCGAGGCCCAGATAAATTGGATTTGAACCCAGATTCTATGATTCAATAGACTTGATAGGTACAAAAGATAGATATATAGTGCTATGGGAGTTTAGGGGAGAAAGAAATTTTTTTGAGGGCAAAGGCTTCTTGAAAGAGCTGGTACCTGAGGCAGGCCTTGTAGAATATAGGCAGCTAGGTAGCACAGTGGATAGAGAGTTGGGCCTGGAGTCAGGAAGGCCTGAGCTCAAATACAGCCTGAGATATTTTACTAGCTATGTGTCCTTAGGTAAGTCACTTAACCTCGGTCGCCTCAGTCTTCTCCACTGTAAAATAGAGATAACAGTAACACCTACCTCTCAGCGTTGTTGTGAGGACTAGAGTTAACATACATAGTAGGCACTATGAATGGAGAAGGAAATGGCAAACCACTCCAGTATCTTTGCCAAGAAAACCCTGTGGACATCTATGGCCAATGGAGTCAGGAAGAGTCGGACATAACTGAGTAACTGAACAGCAACAAAGCTGCTACACAGATTCTAGCTATTATTGTTACTATTGCAACAACACTGTCAGGGCAGTTATTATTACCTTTATTTTATAGGGGAATCAGAAAAGACTTCAGGGATGAGATGGCATCTAGTACTGGGCCTTGAAGGACGACCAGAATTTGTCAAGAGACAGAGAATAACACTGCAAATGGGGGAACAACACGAATAAAGATATAGAGAGGAAAACGTAAGGTCTATTTACACAATGAGAAGATTTGCTGCATTTAGTGAAGAATTTGTGCAGGGAGAAGTAAGAAGAGAGATATCAGTGAAAGTCAGGTGACGGAGGGCTTCGAATGCCAGGGTAAAGCTTTTGCACATTATCCTGCAGAAAATGGGAAGCTCTGAAAAATTCTGAGTAGGGAAGTAACAGAATGAAAGCAGTATTTTAAGATTAATTCATTATGTTCATGAATTATTTATTTCATGGATTCTCCCTGGCCAAGTCTGAGTCTCTTCCTCCCAGCAAATTCACACCAGCCCTTCCTCTGCTCAAAAGCCTTCCATGACTTCCCATTGCCTCTAGAATTAAGTCACAACTCCTTCAAATAGCATTCAGGCTTCTCCATCACTTGGTTCCAATTACCTTATCCTGCCCTTTAGCATCCTAAACTCTGGTCAAGCTGAACTGCTACGTATTCCCAAACATGCCCCATAATTCCCCTACTTCTGTGTCTCTTCACCCTGGTTCCAAAGCATTCTGTAATGAACGATATCCTAGCACGTAGAATTACAAGACATGAGGGCCGAGTTTGAATTCTGGTTCTGCCTTCCTTTACTCCAATCTCTGATGATTGGTTCCTTCCTGCTTCCTACAATTATACCCAAGTCTCCCCATCCTTAAAAACCCTCATTTTTGACCCCCCTATCCCTGCTAGCCATCACCCTGTATTTCTCTGTCCTCATTCTTCATGACCTCTGCAGCCCATGGCACTGGTGACCATCCCTCTCCTTCTGCATCCTGTCTCCTCACTGAATTTTGTTTTCATTGCCCTCTCCTACCTATCTGACCATTCCCTTTTTAGTATCTTTTGTTAGACCATTATCCATGCCAAGCCTACTAATGGTGGGTATACCCCAAAGTACGTCCTTGGGATCTCTTCTTTATCTTCTCTATCCTCTCACTCAGTGATGTCATCAACTCCCATCATTCAATCACCACTTCTATGTCGATGAATCCCAAATCTACATATCCAGCCCTAGTCTCTCTCTCTCCTCCTGAGAATTTCACCAACCACCTACTGGACATTTCCCAGTGGATGCCCTGTAGGCATTTCAAAGTCAACATGTCCAAAGTTGAACTCATCATCTTTTCCCCCATACCTACTCCCCTTCTGAACTTCCCTGTTAGTATTAAGGGTATCTCTATTCCTCGGGTCACCCAGGATCACTTCAGTGTAATCTTCCATTGCTTACCCTCTCCCTCATGCCATACATCCAATCATTAAATCTTCTTGTTTCTACATCTCTCCCGTGTGTCCCCTAATAACCACTCACAGAAGCACCAGCCTTGTTCAGGCCCTCCTTATGTCTTGCAAGATTATTGTAATAGCATTCTATTTGGTCTCCTTTCCCTACTCAGACCCATTCCCCCCACCCTCTGCCTCTGAAGTGATTTTCCTAAAGCATCAATCTGACCATATCACCCCCTACTCAATAACTCCAGTGGTTCCCTATTACTTTATGATAAAATATAAACTACTCTACTAGTCATTTAAAGCCTTTCATAAGCTGGCCCTTTCCTTTTACCTTTCCAGGTTTCTTCTATTTTACTCCCCTTCGTGAACTCAACAATCCAGACATGCATTGCTATTCTGCAAATCCATTACTCTTTCTCCCACCTCCTTGTTCCCTATGCCTGGAATGCAATCCCTTTTCATCTTTTGGAATCTCTGGTTTCCTTCATGATTCATCTGAGACACCACATTTTTCACAAACCTCTTCCTGACTCCCTCAGATGCTCATATTTTCTCCCCCCACCTGCTTCATATAATGGCACAATGTCCTGTGGGGTCACTACAGGGGACTCTGGAATTCTAAGGTTGTCACCCTCTGGTGTGAATGAGGGCTGGGAGAGTAGCTTCAGAGTATTTCTGCATTTGCAATATTTTTTAAAAGATGAGATCTTTATTTCCATTACACAAACAAAAAAATTGTAAATTTTTTTTTGTAGGCTCTAGACCCAATAATTGATATGAGAGAGACCTCAGTTTCTTCAGCTACAAAATGAGGAAGTTGGACCAGGCTCCAAATCTGGGGCTTTATTAACTTTAAATTAGTTAATTGCTCATTTTATATTTTGAGCTTCTGTGATTTCTGGAAATGTAGCCCAGATTCAGTGAAGCTTTAAAAATCACCTGACCAAAATTGACACACAGAGCTTTATGGATGCTTTATGACCAGATTGAGAATCCCAGGATGGGTTTACCTGAACCATAATAACTGGATTTCAGGAATGTACGTATTTCTTGAGTGCTAACTATGGACTCAACCCTGTGCCAAGCACTGTGGGGAACCCAGGAAAAATAGGATCCATGAGTTCTGCCCTCTAGGAACTTTCCCTCCCATAAGACACCAGAAACAAGGGTAAATGAGGCAAGACAGAATATAGCTAAATTGTGTGCTATAGATTTATCAGTGCTATAAAAGCTAATGAAGGTTTGAGTGGTCAGTAAAGACTAATTTAGGTTACGTGGCAGGGAAAATCTTCATAAGGAATCAACTTGTCTGGAAGTGAAATGATCTGTTTTGGAAGGTTCTGAGGTCCCCATCACTGGGGTGAAGCTCCCCTTCACATCAAGTGACAATTGGATGACTCCTAGCCGTAGATTTTGAAGAAGGGATTACCCTATGGGTCAAGATTGGACTACATGGCCCAACAGGTCCTTCTTAACTCTCCAGTTCTGTGATTCTGTGTCTCAGGTTAAGGAGCCTAGGCTTGAAAGATCACGAGATCTTAACCCCAGAGCTGGAAGGGCTCTTGGAGGCCACTTTGTCCAAACCCTTCATTTTACAGGAGAGGAAACTGAAATCCAAAGAAGTGAAAGGATTTGTCCAATGTCACACAGGTAATGAGTATCAGAGCAGGAATTTGTCCAAGGTCATAGAGGCAGTAACGGTGCCAGGACTGGGCCCCTCATTCTCTCATCCCAAACCCAGGGCTTTCAAGCTATATGAGCTCCATCACAGAAAAATCAGAGGGGAAGTCCTTGCCTACTTTTCAAGCGTGTTTTTTATCAAGGATGTTGAGAAGCCTGGACTAAGACTTGGGATGGGGGGCCCTCCTCACATCCTGTGACCAGACACAACAAAACCTGACCCTGACCAGGGCCTGAGTGCTGCCCTCAGATCAGACTGAATACGTGTCTCCCCGCTCCCACATACCCACCACAAGGATATTGTCCCTTCATCTTCTTGGACCTCAGCTTCCTCATCTGTAATATGAAGGGACCTGGCTAGATAGTCTTTGAGGCCCCTTAATGCTCTAAATCTGTGATGCTATGACCTTTGGCTTCATTTAACTGTACCTAGATCTCCAGCAGTGGGGTCAAGAAGGCCCAGGACCAGGGAAAACTATCGCACAACCTGGAAGGGCCCTGGCCCAAGAGCACTGGCTTTGGTCCTGACTTCTTCAGTACCAGAGCCATAACTAGTACTTTTTAACCCATAAAACTTGCTTAGAACAAGCCCACAAAAGGTACCTGCAGTAGGGGGTGGGAAGAGGCCACTGGAAGGGAGGGAGCTGGCAGAAACTACTGTGTGGGGAAGGATAAGAGATCCTGGGATCTGTTGCTGGGGAGGCTGCCTACCTGCTGACCTCTCTCATTTTACAGGGGAGGAAACAGAGGCCCAGAGTTAGCAACAGAGAAAGGGCTGTAACCTAGGGCTTCTGAGTTGGAGTCCAGCCTGGTGTCAGCCACACTGTTGAAATTAGGCCTCTCTTAGGGGAACAGGGTCCTGGAGCATCTGGAGCAGAGGCCCTTGGTCTCATGAATGAGGATGAGCAGCTGGTGGGAGGAAGGGGGGGATACCTAGCTCTCTTCAGGTTCATCCTCCTCTTAAATTCTTCTTTGACTGGGGTCCCATCAATAGGAAATTTCCAGAAGCCAAGGAGGAGGCCAAGAAAAGACCCCCAGGTCCCATATCCCTTCTTCTGCTTTGCCTTGCCTTAGGCTGTTCCCCTAGGTGCCCAACTACCCACCGCTTGGACTGTGGCAGAGAACTCAATAGGCTTTGGGCAATGATTCTCCCGCCTGGGGGGCCTGGTCCCTGTTCACCAAGGGGCATTGAAATGCCCCTTTCTTACCTCCCAGAGTGGTCCATGATACATTCAACTCCTTCCTCTTGCTTACTCCACTGAAGAAAAGTTTGAAAAGCCACAAAGTCCAAAGCTTCAAGAAAAGGAAAATGTACAGGGGACTGGAAAGCATAAGCAGATGCTATCCCCCTTCCCTACCTGAAGTGAGACCCTTTTTGAGTATGGCTGTGCTTGGAGCCTGGACTGATGGGAAGGTTTGTGGAGGGGCACTGCCAGGCCAGTTTGGCCTCCCATGAGGAGCATCCCACCCTCCCAGCACAGCAGTGGGAGGGGATTAGGATGACAAGTGCTCCAAGTGAGAGGGGAAGGAGGAAACAACAACTCCAGGTGAAGAGACAGGAGAAATAACAGCTGTGAGTGAGGGGAAGGTAATGAGGTCTCCAGGTGAGAAGGAAGGGAGGAAATGAATTCTAGACCAGAGGTGTGTGTTTGCAGGGGAATAACAGCTGTACCGGTGGGAGGAAGATAACTCTAGATAAGAGGGAAGGGGAGTAACATCTCCAGGTGTTAAAAGGAGAGAAGAAAGAATATCTCCAAGTGAGAAAGGATAGAGTAAAAGAGTTCCAAACTTGGGGAGGAGGTGGCGATAATAATAGTTCCAGAGGGGAGGTTAAAATAACAGGTGAGAGCAGAAAGAGAGTATAGATCTGGGTGATGGGGAAAGTGTGTGTGTGTGTGTGTGTGTGTGTGTGTGTGTGTGTGAGTGGGTGAGAAATCGTGTGTTTGTGTGTGTGTGTGTGTGTGTGTGTGAGAAAGTGTGTGCGGGGGGGGGGGGGGGGATCCAGGTGAACGAAGGTAATAATAGCTCCAGGTGAGGGGGGAGGTAACTCCAGGTGATAAGGGGGGGGTGGTAATGACGTGTCCAGGGGAGGGGGAGTATCATTAGCCTCAGGGGAGGGGCATGGGGGTGGCTGACAGCTTTAGGTGAGAGGGGTGAGAAGCAATAACAGCTCCCACCGAGAGGAAAGAATGGAAATAACAGCTCCAGGTCAGGAGGGGAAGGGAACAGCTTCAGGTGAGGGAGGAGAGGAGGACGGATGAAGCCTCCAGAGGACGGGACCGGAAGGGCGGGGCACCACCCTTTTTTTCAGGCTCTGCCCCCCCCCCCCCCCCGGCAGGGCTTGGGCAACTTCAGCTTACACGCACGCACGCAACCCTCAGGCGGACGTACGTACGCACGTAAGCACGTGCACACGCACTCGCTGGCAGGCTCCCTACGCCCACCTTCCTCCAGGCGCATGCGCGGCGTACGTACGCGCAAGCGCAGCTCTCGGAGACGCTGCTGGGCGGGAGCTTTGGTGTGTCAGGCGGCCAATGGCTTTACCTGGAGCGGCGGCTGCTCGTGGGCCTAGGCTGAGGCTGATGCGGAAAAAGCCGCCCGCGCCCCCCTCTTCCTCTTGCTCCGGGGCAGGCGGCGGGGGGCAGGAGGGCAGGTGAGGCCCCGCCCGAGGAGGGAGGCGGGAGCCCTGTCAGCCGGGCCTTCGTCATCCCCCCATTAACCGGGCCTTCGTCCTTCCTTTCCTTTCCTCCGCTAACCGGGCCCTTCTCCCGTTCTCTCTTTCTAGGGCCGTCTTCACTCCCTCCCCCATCCCCCAATTAGCTGGGCGTTCTTCCTCCCCCTCCCCCACCCGCTCGGGCTTTGGCCCCCAGTGACCAGCCCCTCCCCAGGACCCCCGCCCCCGCCGCCGCCTTCGTACCTTCCGGGCCTGTAGCATTCATTAGGAGGGGGAGGGGACTGTGGTCGTAGACCCCCGCCCGCCACCAGGACCTCTTAGGTCATAGATTTAGCCGTGGTCCGAGGTGCCCCCACCCCCTCGTTTTACAAAGAGGTCAAATGTCACACCGAAGGTCACAGGCCTGTGAGGTTCAAATGAGTCAATGCATTTAAAATGTTTTAAAATCTTAATACACAGACACCCCCATCTCTCATCCCAGCCTTGTTGATCTGAGCTGTCTTTCCTTGATGTGAAGATTGAATCAGACAGGTCTAGACTTCCCCAAAATGGGCAAAGTAGGGGGAGGGAATAAGCTTGTATAGGGCCTACTCTGTGTCAGGCACTAGACTAATCGTTGGGGATACAGCCCCCGCAGGATTTTACTTTCTAATGGAGGAAACAAAAACAACGAGGTCCATACAAGATCCATCCAGAGCATATGGGAGAAGAGGAGGACAAAAACATTTATGTAGCACCTACTGTGTGGCAGAGACTGTGCTAAGAGCTTTACAAATATCTCATTTGATTCTCAACAACCCTGTGAAGTGTTATCATCATCATTATTATTATATATTAATATAATCATATATAACATAATGTATCATTATAATAAGTATTGCTATTATTATCCCCATCTTATATTTGAGTAAGCTGAGGCAGATAGGTGAAGTGACTTGTCCAGAGTCATAGCGGTTGTGGCTGGATTTGAATCCTGAGTCTAGGCATAGTGCTATCTACCAGGCTACCAGCACCTCAGTTGTGGCAGGTAAGGCTTCAGCCCAGAATTACAATCCAGTCTGTCCATGTTTGTCAGGCAGGAGACTGATCCATGGTCTCTCTTCCTCCCCCTTTGCTCCCTTCCTTGAATTTGAAGACGGAAAATCTAAGTTGTGTATTTGTCTTGACATTTGTGATTTTGGGGAAGTGTGTTTCACCTTCCTGTAAAATGGACTGCTTGGTCTCTTAAGGTCCCTTCCTGCTCTAACTCTGTGATCCTGTGATTTATTGGAGTAGCTAGGTAATACAGTGGGCCTGGAGTCAGGAAGATGAGTTCAGATCTGGCCTTAGACACTAACTGTGTGTCACTGGGCAAGTTGCTTCTCCCTGTTTGCATCGGTTTCCTCATTTATCAAATGAGCTGGAGAAGGAAATGGCAAACCGCTCCAGTGTCTCTGCCAAGAAAATCCTAAATGGAGTCACAAAGAGTTAGACATGACTGAAAACAGCTGAATAGCAATGACTTAGTGTAACCCATAGAAGTCACCAGTCTCCCCTTTAAAAATGGGGATTGATCCAGGGCGAGCAATAAGGTAGCAACAGTGGACAGAGAAACTAGGCAAGCTCAGATCCAAGCCCTTGGAAGTATGAAGCCTCATCTTCAAGAGGAAGAAGCCCTGAGCTTGGAGTCAAGAAACCATGGGTTGGTTCTTGGCTCTAACACTTGACTAACTCTGAGGCCTTGGGCAAGTCACCTCTCTGGGCTTCGGTTGCCGCATTTGTAAAATGGGGATAATAACTCCCCACTACTCAGGGTTGCTTTGAGGAAGGTATTCTGTAAATAATTCTCATCTTCAGTGAATAGACTTTGCCCTCTGCCCCAACCTTGCTTAGCCACCAAATTGTGGCCCGTCAAGGAATCAGGCCTCCAGAAGCAGGGAGAGGATTTAGGGGCTGACTGTGGAAAGGCGATTTGAAGTCTTACTAGAAAGAGGGAGGTCGGTAAAGAGAAGAGACATATGGATGCTGAGGGCATAGGAATCCACATCACCCCTAGCGCTGCCTGATGAGGTCTGTCAGAAGATGCCTGATGCTCTAGTCCCTACTCTTCAGTGTTCTCCAACCCCAAACTCCTCCCCTATCCCAGCGATTTTTTTTTTTTTCAGTAAACACCCCAAGCTTGAGCAGTCTGTGGAGCATTTTGTTTTTGCATCTCATTTCTGGTACTTAATCAGACTTCTGCAGCTTGGAGAGGTCATTGCTGAGATGAGGCCTCAGGTAAATGCAGTGCTTTTCCTACTCTGTAACCTTTCCATAGATGGGGTCATAAATTCAGAACTGGAAGGCCCCTCAACGGTCATCCAGCTGGAATTCAGACTTAGGTCCTTAGACTCCCCGGGGACCATAATTACCACCATTTCCCAGATTCTTCAACAGAGCATTCCCTCTCTGGCATCCCTGCACATGGTCCTTTCAGGCCAATTTGTGGAATTGATCTTAATGGCAAGTACGATGTCTCTCTCATTTTGTATTCACAGAACTTCAAACATCCCCTCTTGGTTGGACCAAGAAGGGTTAAATGAGTCTGATGAATTGTGGAGGCTGCTGGTATTGAGAAGTGTGAACTCCAGTCTGCATGAGGCCAGCCAGGAAATGCCAGATTTACCAGCATTCTTTGACAAGGTAGCCTATACCTCACGATATTAATGGTCAGGATGTAGATTTTTATGACAGAGTCTATTAAAGTGGCACCAGTTGCCTTTTAAAATTAGATTTTTAAAGTAGGAAAACATGACCTTTTACAAATATTGCTAAACTCCTGACAAATCCATTTCATCAAGATTATGTCATGTACAGAACAGGGCTAGTACTCTGTTGAAGGGATGATGATTCTGTCGACTTGGAATGGATGAGTCCTTTACCACCACCAACAAAAAACTTCTCCACCCTCACCATCGTTTTAAGTCATTTTTTAAAAAAGCTTTTTGTAAACTCCCTCCCCCCAACACAAAGCCTTCTGGTATGAAGACACTACAGTTTCTAGGAGAATAAGGGGCATTGTGTGTGTGTGGTTTTTTTTTTCCCCTGCTATTTGTGGGTTTTTTCTTGTTGTTTACATTTCTATTTCATGGTATCACTAAATTTTGAGAGTTGGAAAGAACCTCAGACGCTAGGCAGTCATTCAGCCACTAAGCATTAATTACCTGCGCTTTGCCTGGTACTGGAGAGCAGGCAAGATGTAGCAGTCCCTGTGTTCAAGGAGTGTTAGCAGCCCCAGCCCACCTGGAGACTCCAGTGTCAGGAAGCTCATTACCTGTATTGAGGTAGCCCATTTTACTTTTAGATGGGACTTATTTGGAGAAGCTTTTTCCCTGTTGGGCTGAAGAGGCTTACGTCAGCAAGTCACCCATTGGTGGCTCCTGGGTCTCCCTTGCGGGCCAAGGCTTTCTGCTACAAGAAACCTTCTGGTCAGTTATATGCTCCCACCCCACCACCTCCTCTGCAAGCTCAATACCCCAAGGCCCCACCGAAGGAATCCCCACCATAACCTCTCTGGAGAGCCACCCTTGAGCCTTGATGCCTTCCACTAGGGGGAGCCCCAGTTTCTCCAGGCAGCCCATCCCCCTTTGGGATGCACAGGAAATTTCTCCTGACATTTGCCTCCTTGCAACTTCTTCCTGTTCCTTCCTACTTCTGGCTTCAGGGGCCAAATGCAAGTCTCATCCCTTTTCCATAGGGCAGCCTGACCATCTTGTCATGTTGCAGTTCTCACACGGCATGGCTTCAAGGCCCCTCACTATCCTGGTAGCCCTCCTCTGGATACCACCTAGTACATTAATGTTCTTAAGTGACAGCCACTAGAACTGGTCCCAGCGCTCCAGCTGTGGTGGAAGGAGGGCAGAGAACAGACAGACTTGACGACATCGAGCCACTCTTAACAAGGGACCCCTCCTAGGAGTCTGGAGGTGATCATCCCTCTGTTGCTTCAAGAACTTGTCCTTACAGCTGAGTTGTCAAAGGGACAGTAGACCGGGAGAGGGCTTTGCCTCCTTTGGGCAGTGGATTGTGCGCTTCAGGTTAGTTTAGAGGGACCAAAGTCCTTCTTAGTACGTACAGGACGCAGAGAAGGAACTAGGATGGTTCATTTTCCTCGTGATCAGGACTTCCTCGTGATGAGGACATTTTCCTCAGGATCATGGCAAACCTGGAGTTGGCACAGCAGCTTTCTCTTGGCAGTGCCCACACAAGGCATGCATACCCTAGAAGTCTTCAGCTGTCCTCCCTGGCAGTCCAAAAGAAGCTTGAGGCATTTGGCCCAGCCTGTGGTTTAAAAGTATTAGAAACTGGAACATATTGTAGGGGAAAGAGCCCTGTGCTGGGAGGCAGAAGACTTGGGTGTGAATCTTGGCTCTCACATTTGGTATTTGTATGCCCTTAGGTTACTGTTCCTCAGTGGGCCTCAGTTTCCCCATCTGCCTAAGGAGAAGGTTGGACTGTGATCCCTGAATTCTTTTCCAGTCCTGAAGTCTACGATTCTAGGAATATTGCTTTTTACACAATGCTTTTTAAGGGGAAAAAAAAAGAGTTTAGCCATTCTAGTTTGATCTAAAACAGAGAGAAAAGTGCTGGCTTAGTAGCAGATGATCTGGGTTGAAATCCTGCCCCTGCCACTTGTTACTTGTGGTACCCTGGGATGCATCACTTGCCCTCTCTGGGTCTCAGTTTTCATATCTGCAAAACGAGAGGGTTGGGCTACATGGCCTGAGTTCTAGAACTATCATGAAAAAGTAAAACCCTGTTTTTGCAGAACACCAGGAATGATAAGAGCTCACAGCAACCAGCCCTCTTTAAAGTGGGGACAGAAGAGTTTCAGTGGACACCTTTCCCCCCTGCCTTCACATTTGTTGGTCAGTTCAAAAACCCAGACTCTTCTCATTTCACAAAAGGGAAACCTGCTCTGATCCTCCATGAACAAGCGCAGGGAGTGGGCCAGAGCAGCGGGCCTTCCTCCTGGGGGCCCTCTGCTGGGGGCCGCGAGAACCTGGAGCCAAGGCGTGACCATGGAACTGGGGTGAAAAGGCCTTTGGAACGAAGGGACAGTGGCATCGAGGCTTCGAAGAGCAGACTTCCACAGCGCAGGAAGAAACAGAGACTTTGGGGGGAGGGCGACGCCTCCTCCCCAGCATCTCCCCAGACCCTCACCTCAGGGGTGAGCCGTCCAGGGTACTCTTCCTCTGAAGAGCCCAGGCACAGCCTTTGCTCAGAGGGTGCCAGAGTGGAAAAAGATGCCGCCTCTGCTGCCGTGAGCCAGGGAATAGTGGCACTTGATAGCTGTCCGATGTGCCAGGTCCCATTTACTGGAAAGTAAGTCCTCAGTCTTTTTCCTGTCTTGGGGAACCCCTTAGGGAGGTGCCCAGCAGAGCCAGCTTGGAGCCCATGGGTGTGGGGTGGAGGGGTGTCCCAGGGAGGGCGTCTCTAACAGGCCCGCGGGCAGTGGCATTCTCCAGGCAGGTGTTGTTCCTGGGACAGCAGTTTAGAAAACCCCGGGAGGATGAGGGGCTGCAGCCATTTTTACTGAGTAGAAGTCATCGAAATGTGGCGCCACCATGGCTTTAGCCTGGGCCTTGTAAAATCATTTTATATAAGGAGTGCCTGCAAAATTAATTGATGATGCTGACTTCCACCCAGTTGGGAAGGCTAACGTCTCTTTCCTGGCTATTCTCGGCTTCCGAGGGCACGTGGAGCTGCTGGCTGTCTGTGACGGCCTGGGCCAGGATCAGCACATGGGGCTGGTCATCCACTGCTGCAGTCCGGGCACCCCTGGGCAGGAGCACAGCTGCAGCTTTATGGCCACACAGAAACACTGCAGAATTCATTGGGACAGGAAATATCATCTCGTTCTATAACGTTGGATATTTCACTTAGCTCCCGTGGTTGATTTAGTGGGAGTTGGGTTAAGCACAGAAATCCCCACATAAAGATGAGCATCTAGCTCTGAGTGAGGATGGTGTTTTAAACGAGCATTTCCTTGTTAAAATAACCCCATGAATATTTGCCCTAATATGTTCCGGGTGTTTTTTGGGAGGTTTGAAAAATTGAAAATACTCTGTCATTATTGCCAGAGCTGAAACTCGGGTTTTTCTTAAAGTTTTCAATTTGATGTCTTTTCTTTGTGGGATGGAGCCCTCTCCTGCTAAAGTTCTCCCAAGAGTCGCCACCTCCCCAAGAGGTGAGCTTCCTTAGAGCTTTGCTTTGTTTGGCCAGTCAGAGATGCCCGCCCTGCCGGCTTGACAACATAGCTCCTAGGCCCAGCCGTTTTTGGTCTTTGTTTATAGTTACATCTGGAGGGTAAAGAATGGGAGAATCTGGGGAGGAGTCTCCTAAACAGCATGGCTGGGGCAGCCAGTGGGTGGGGCCCACAGTAAGGCTGTCACCTTGCTCCAGACATGATTCCAAGCCTTGGGTAGGAGGACGTGGGCAGCTGGTGGTGCAGTGGTTAGAGCGCCAGGCCTGGGGTCGGCGAGACCTGAGCTTGAATCTGCCCTCAGACACTTACTAGCTGTGTGACCCTGGGCGGGTCATTTCACCTCTGTTTGCCTGTTTCCTCAGCTATAATAATTACAGCACCCAGGATCAAATAAGATAATTGTAAAATGTCTGGCACACGGTACCTGGTACATAGTAGGTGCTACATAATTTCTATCATTCTCATTTTAGAATTGTGTGCCTTTGGAGTTAGATAAACACAAAAGAAACTGAAGATAGATTGAGCACGTACAGTATGTCTCAGGGCTCTTTTGATAGGAGGCTTTTAATCAGTTTTTAATGCATTAAACAGGGATAGAAAGTTTCCTGCTTTACATGGTGTTTAAATATTCTAATCCTGGAATGGAGTGTTCCACTCATTTGGATACAATGAGCTCCATTCATACAGCAGGGGACAGGAGGACATTTACCTTGTAGACAATTGGAGTCACGTTTGGGGGCATGGGATGTACGGCTGCATTGTATCTGAACCCATGGAGCATGACCACAGCTGAGGCTCAGTAGGGCAGGAAGAGGCATTCTGGGAGAGCCTAGAGAGCATATCATCTAGATGGCTTACCATGGGGTCCAGCCTGGCTAGGGTGGTGATAACAGAACACAGTTTAGCTAGTTGAGGTCTCAAATTAATGAATGTCAGGAGAATTCTCAAGAAATTGAGGGAATAGAAAAAGGCTGTTGGAATTCCTTAAGAAGGACCCATCTTTTTGAAGGAGAAAGACCTTGGGGTCAGATGTCTGATTAGTCCAGTTTATCCTTCCAAATAACTTCATCAGGTTGGCAAGGGATTGTGGGGGAAATAGCCATCAGACAGTCATTTTATTTTAGGGGTTAGGGAACCAGCCTGGCTGAGCTTGGAGAGAGGTGCCTGTTGCCAAATGGGAGGTGATGTAGTCTTGTTGGTGATAGCAGCTCATGACCCGTCTGCCAAGGCATCCTGGAGCAGTGAGCTGCCATGCTAGTAAATGGAACATCTGTGGGGGTGAAGTCAGGGATCCTGGAGGCTTAGGAGGGGGGCCTAGTGAAGGAGTAGAGGTCAGCACACTATCCTAGCTGCCTTATTTCTGGGGAGCTCAGGACTGCACTGTGATTTTACTGATAGAGGGAACTCCTAGATTAGCAGAAGTCCTCTACTAGTGCAGGTTGGCCCCTTCTCTGAAGTTTCAGAAAGTTGTCTGGACCCTGAGAAATTAAATGACTTGGTTGGGGGCCTATAGCCAGTGTAGGTCAGAGGCCAGACAAACCCAGGTCTTCTTGCCTTCAAGGCCTGCTCTAGCTCCAGTGTGGTCAAACTCATGCTTGCTGTGTATTGACTTAGAATACCACAAATTAACATTATCTGTGTTGTATTGTGTTTTTATTTATTTTGTTAAATATTTCCCACTTACATTTTAATCTGTTTTGGACTAGACTGCCCAGCACTTTTCCCAGCCAGCCACAAGTTTGACCTCTGCTTTATACAGTGTTGCCTCTTAGAATAACATTTATATCACCCATTAAGGTTTGCAAGGGCTTTACATATATTGTCTCCTTTTATCCATATAAAGTTGGGAGAGGTGCTATTCTTACCTTCTTTTTACAGATGAGAAAAACGAGTCAGTCACTGAGTGACATTACCGGGGGCACACAACTGCTAAGTTTCTTTCAACATTTTTGTAAGATTTTGAGGTCCAAATTTTTCTCTCCCCCCGCCCAAGACAGCAAGTAATCTTATGTAAGTTATACACGTACAATCACATTAAACAGATTTCCACACAACTACTATGTTTCTGAAGCAGCATTTGAGATTCATTTTAAAAGCAGCATTAAAACTAGGCCCTTGGAAGAGGAAGAGACAAGCAGTAGCTGTCTGGTTTTATAGTAGTTGCTGAAATGACTTGCCAAAGACCTAGATTTGGGGGAGAAAGTAGGTGTTGATCCAGTTAGTTGTCTGTCTTGCCATTGAGCTGCATATATTCTGTGTTCATGACTTTGTCATTATAAATGATGGTGTGTATAAATGCACGTCACTAAATGCTTTAGTCAAATAGATGAGGGATTCAGATTTGAAAACATCCACTTTTGTTTTTCTCTCTCTGGAAAGAAAGTGCACCCGAGTCCACCCCTGTTAGCTGTGTGGTTGTCTGTGGCCCAGACAGGAGGCCTGTTGTGCATCCTAAGTGATGAGTCGGCCTCTGGAGGCCAAAGAAGGATTGCTGAGCTTGGGTTGTGTGTTTTGGCAAAACCAGCTATGCCTGCCACGAGCACCGATGTCAACAGATGTACACAGTGACTGTCTTGTCTCATAACTATTGCTGGGAAAGCATTTTTTTTATAATTAGCATGTACCATTCATAGAAAAAATTGTTAACCTACCATCTTTAGGTCTTATTGAATGGTAGCCGTTCCCTTAGCTGACAGCCCCCAAATGCCACCCGTGTTACTTTGGAGCTGATCTTCTGCTCAGCCCACTTGATCCATTCTGGCTAGTCCATCAAGGGAAATGGAGGCAGGAGAGGAGACTGTACAAGAGTTCTGCTCTGTGTAAAATTTTAGAAGTGTACCTTGAGGGTAGGCTCACTTCAGTAACTGCTAACCTTTATAGGGTCCTTGGAGATTTGCTTCCCTACCACTGGAAGGAAAAGCTGCCAGGGCTGTTCGATTTTATCAGTCATTGGGGGAAGACTGAATGCTGGGTAGAAATACCTGAGTTTTCCTGGCAGCTCAATAGTGCTTTTGTAGGTGAATGACTTTTCCAAGAAAACAGCGAGATCTTAGTTTTTTCTTAATAGAAGCTTGTAAATAGCATCATGTAGTAATTTGTTCTTTAAGGGCAAATGGGGAATTTTAAAAATACAGCAATGGAGGGAGATGGCACCATTTTTTCCCAGAGCATCAAAATGTTCTGGGTTGACATTAAGGGACAATCTCCCCCCTACCCCAATCCCTTTTTGAATGGCTTGAGTGGATATTATCAGTGACGTTTCCCAAAATTAAAGATTGGTTTGGATAGAAAATATTTTTACTAAATCATTCTTATCTCTTTAAGGCTCTCTTGCTTTCTGCTTTATGGAAGAGCCATGCATTCGAATCTTGGCCTAGAACCCTTGCTTCTGAGGTGCTTTGGTGCTCGCTGGCTGCTGGGCTAAGGCTGGTGCGGCAGGGGTAGAGGTGGAGAAGTCAGAAGGTCAGGGTCCTGGGGTTGGAAAAGTAAGGGCTTTTCATAACAGAAGCCTTGCAGACCCCTTACAATTTTTTGAGTAATCATTAGAGCAGTTCAGTGTTTCATTTCCATTGCTACAAGCTTGTTGGGAGTCATTTAAGCAGCATTTAGCAGGTGCAGTTGAGGTACAAAGGAGGGACCTGACAGATGAGATTTTCCTTTATTTATAGACAGTGGTGGGTAATGATGGCAAATGCTTGTCAGCACTTGAGACTGCAGCAGCAGCAGTGAGGAGGTGAGCAATGTTGGGTAGTAGTCTGGGATGCTGACAGTCTGGGGGAATTTAAGGGCAGCAGTAGGCAGAGGCGGGAGAGACTTCATTATGCTGTTAATCATGTTTCTGTTATGACCTAAATGCAGGAATCTGCCTCTTTGCAGCCAGCTAGAGCCCCTCGCAGGTAGTGCCCGATGAGGCCCACAGGAGCCTGCCAGCTCCGGGCTTGTTCCTTGTTAGCGCTTCTTATTTCTCTACTTTGAAGGGGAACCCACACGCCTGGCTGTTTGTGAACAGGAGCACATGACTACACATGGTTGTCACATGCTGTACCTAAAAGCCTGTGATCGTGTTAACCTGCAGGAGGGACCTAAAACGTGGCCAGTTTTCCAAAGCTCTTCTAGCTGGAAACATTCATGCAGGAATACAGGCGGCCTTTTCATGCTTTGGGAGGGAGACACATAAAACTCGGTTTATTTAGCAACGTTCTTGAGAAGTGACCAAATTTGGAAAAGATGATGTGTCGTTTGTGCTTCGTGAAACACTTCATTGACATGTTTTAAGACTGAAGGGTGAGAAAATCTAGAGCCTTAGACTTTTTCCTGTGGAGACAGGACAGCGCTCTAGCATTACCTTGAGGCGGTCCGAATCTTTATTTAACAGGACTCTCAGTTTACTCTCACTGATCTAAGGTCCTGACAAGCTACTAGGAAGACTCCTTACCAGGAAAGGCTAGATGGTCTTAGTATGTCCCATCTTTTATGAAGCATCTCCCCAAATTGCCTACAGAGCAGATATTTACTCTTGGCGGCCTAGATTGCACACTCACTAACTCTTGTCTTTTCTCCTCCTCTGCAGGTTCTCCCAGCTGGATATTGATAGCCATCTTGCTAAATGCTTGTCAGAGAGTATTGAAGATGTGACGTGGTAAACTTAGTAGGAACAGCTCACAAGAAATCCATTTATAAAGTAGGAATGACTAGAATATGACCTCCCCTACAGCAGAATACGAGATCACAAGAAATGGCCCCAGGCACCCCTGGCCCTGTGTGTACACATACTCTCCCTAGACTCTGGATGCTCTGAAGAGCCCTTCCTAAGGCATGCTTCCCCGAGTCATCCCTGGAGTGTCCTGGGAGGCAGCGTCCTGGCTGGGAGGACTTCTTGACTCTGCCTTTTCACAGTAGACAATAAAAATTCCATTTTGAATATTGAATGGCTATTTTAATTTCTATCATACTTCAGACCTCTTTAAACGAGGTGCTATGCAGAGCTTTCCTTCTTGACAGAGATTTACAGGTAAAGTAAGAGTCTGCGCTAGTCAGAGTAACAGTCACTGAAGGATGTGGTCGATGACTCTGGTCCAGACAAGTAAATGAGCTGCAGCAGGGTGTGGCCATGTGGACTCTGGTTGCACTCAGAAAATCCAGGCTTCCAAACTCCCTAGCTGTGGGTGGGGCTGGCCAAGTCGCTGTGGACACTCTGAGCCCACCCTTCAGACCTCACTGATGGGCCTGCCTTGCCCGGGACTTCGGGGGATTGGGAGGCTGGGTTGTCCCTAAGAGCTGTATAAATTCCAGGAACCTTCCACCAAACTGGGGTTTTGTAACTGAGTCTCCGCTCTTTGTATGATCCTGAGTTAGCCCAGAACATGGTGACCACTTGGCATTCTATTATAGTGTTTTCTTGTGGTCCAGGGCTGGGGAAGATACCAAAGAGCCTTCATTTTTAACCTCACTTGCTCTTTTCCCCTACGAAATGTGTAGAATGCCTTTATTTTATATTTTTAGCATAGAGCAAGTATTAGACTGTTTAATCTTTTCCTCTTCTCCTTACCCTGCTTTGTCACAGTGCATCAAGTCCTAACCCAAGGAAGGTTAGCTGTGAATCGAGAACAAAAAAAAAAAGGTAAACTACAGAAAACTTAGAGGTAGATAGAAGTTATCACTAGCTATTTACATAGTATCTTTGACTTTAAAATGATTTTTTAAGAAGTGTGCCCTTTTTGGAAATACCCGGTTTTAAGGAAAAGAATAACAATCTATTAGGCTTTTTCATTAAAGTCTTTAATAGGTGTGCAAGAATAGAAGCGATCTCAGCTGTTATGGGTTAGCATACCATCTTCTGCACAAGGAAAACGGGCCAGCAAAGATCGGAACTAAGTAATTATACAAAACTACAAGAACATAGTTACTGCTTTACAGCCGTTAAATTAGCTAGAGTTTTCATTTCCTATTTCAGATATGACAACTATAGACCATCTCGTTACCAGATCCATTTGTAATATATTAGGACTTTTTTTTCCAAACCACACATTTAATTACATCCTTCAGTTTCTTTAATATATAAAACAAGTACTTCATATAAAAATTTCTCCTTCATCATAAACAAGAACGTTATTCATACACTTGCACGTGAGCCCCCAAAGTCATAGCTGGCGAACTATTTGGCAGCACAGCAACATTGTGAATGCCTTCGAGCACTTACGTAAGCCCGGGGCGCCGGTGCCGCCACGGGGGCCAGCGGGCCTTTTTTTTCCAGCCGCTGCAGCGAAATGAATCAGCTGCCACTAGCAGTCTATGAGTGGAGCAAACACACACACACACACACACACACACGTCCCTCGCCTGGAGACTCACGCCAAAGGGAGGATCCCTCCCGACCAGGGTCCCCCTGCTCGCAGTCACACCGTAGCATAACTCAAATGTGTGCGGCTGGAAAGTGGAGGGATCTGATGAAAGTCACAGCCAGGTGGGGGAGTGGAGAACGAGCCAGTCGGGAACGGCCTCTGGCCTGCGTCCTGCACGCCCTGCATTTCTAGGCTTTTGAGGCAAGTGCGTTTCACTGGAAGGGGAGGGGCGCTGGTTCGAGCACAGCTTCCGGGCCACCGTGGAGACCCCGAGCTCAGACGGAGTCACTGCCCCTAGGAATTGTGGAGGCTACAGTGGGGCCTGTTTACCAATGGTCAGTTGGGGATTTGAGAGAATATTTTGGCAGTCTCATCCTAGCACCTCATGACTTGGATGTGAATCTGAGAGATGTCACGTTCAGCACCAAGTGCGATGCTGTACCCTGAGAAACCTACATGTTAATGCAAAGAGAGTGAAGGAGGGTTCAGGGGGAGTCTGTATCTTGTACCGGCTTAGGTGTCTGTCTTTGTGCTTCCTGCACTGTTCCCCTTCTCCCCTCCCAGATCCAAACCACACAATTCACGGAACCAAGAACTAGCACAGAGACCCGTGCAGCCCGGCTACGGTGACCTGCAGCAGCGGCAGGTGGGTCTTTACAAGCCTTTGAAACGTTTTCTGTGGCAGTGGACACTTGGTGATCCTTAAACAAAGTGACCCGACTGTTCCACAGCTGGACAAGAAAGCATCCTGTTAACCCCTGTGAAGCTAACATCGATGGTGACCCGACCCGACCCCTCCCCCCCAACACATGCTTTTGTTTTCACTGTTTCCAAAAGAGAAGGGATTTAATGGACAGTTTTCAAATTGTTATATTTTTCAAGTGGTTCCCACTCCCCCTTGCCATCTTGACGTATATAAAACCTACAGTTGAGCTTCATCAAGCAATCCTTTCTTGTAAGCAGAACGGTTATTTAGTAATATACAGATTCTCAAAGCAAAGAGATTATTAGAAGTAGGAGGTGTGCTTTATCAGGAAAATGGGTTATGTTTATGGATACTCTAGATTTATTATTAAACTTTTAAGGCTAGCTCCATCATACTTTTTTTCCCCTATTTTCTAATTCGGAATACCATATTACTGATAAAAATATTTTTCAAAAATCTAATACATAACACAAGACATGTAGGCACTGCTTAAGGATTTTTCAGAAATCTATTTTGTGCAAATTTAGTTTTTTAAATATACATATTTTTTGGTCTAATGGTGCTTTGGCAAGCATCATTTTAAACATCTACCTCATCCAATTTTATCCGTCGATAGAATGATAATGTTTTACTAATGGAGATTCGCATTGCTCCTTTGTAGCTCAAAGGACATTTCTAAAATAAAGGTGTGTTTTCAGCAATAGACACTCCAGCTGTTAATTACATGCGTTGTATGAAAATACCTGTTAAATATTAACAACAAGAACTTACCAGGATTTAGAAAAGGCTCCGAATTTGTAAAAATTCTTCGTTGCAGTTTATCCATTTAGGCACTTAAACTTCTGTACCCAAACTTATGTTTTGATTGCTAATAAAACACAACTCCTCTTTTATTTAGATAGTGTATCTGAGATGTTTAGACAGGTGCCACTGGTGGGAAAAAAGGCATCGGAAATGAGGTTCAACACCACTGTAACATTTTATTCTTCAGGATATTACACTTTAATTTTCTTGAATTTGTCGGCCATTGCATCAAGTTTTGTTTTGTAGAAAGTGTGCATCTTCAAAGTCGTTGGAACATTCATTTCCCGAGGACGTAACGAACATGAGATTCTTCCACGAAGCAGGCACGTGTGCACATTCCCTCAGAAAAGAAGCCAGTCGCATCAGTGCCCCAGATTCCAAAACCAGGATCACTTAGAGGAAGACACCCACCAAAATCTATTCTCTTCTTTGATTTTCAGCAGCAATTTTTAAAAAAAATCATTGGTCTCCACTCAAAACCTTACAGTTCCCCAGCCTTGCATGCATATACTGTAGTTAGGGATAAATGTAAAAGTTCATTCACATTATTTGTCCACAATGGAGATGCCATTTCTTCATACTGACTCTTCTGTAGAAAGCAACAAGGGGTTGATGTATTCAAATCCTTCAAATTCTGACTGGTCTATTCTTTTTACTACATCCCTTTAAGAAAAAACAAAAAAGACACAATTATTGCCTTGTGTTTTAATCCCTACTGGTAATGCCTCACTCACAGACTTTACTGGATGTGCTTAATTTCAGAAGGCTGAGAATACAAAATATTCATTGTACCAAATTAGGTGACATAAGCATAGTCTTAGAACAGGAAGGCCCTTGAGAGACCACCTAATTCTAGCCCTTTTTTACAGAGGAAGAATCCATGGCGAGACAGGGAAGTGCTTTGCCGAGGGCCATACGACACTTGAAGAGGCAGGAAAAGCTCTACCACCCAGGCCCCTTCCCCTCTAGTTTGCTGACACATGAGGAACCCAAAAGCCAGACACTGCCTGAGAAAGCTCTGAATGACTCGGAAAAAGTAAGCTTTCCTCTGTGAGGGATCCTAAAAGAAGTCTTTCCTCGTCCCTGTACAGCAGGGCTCTCACAGAACTCTCATGAATAATGATGAGGAGCCCTTCACATATTCTGGAAACTCCAGCCCATGAGCAGCCACAGGCAGATCACTGTGGTAGCCGTTCGGGGCAGTGCAGGGGCCGGCGGGTGGGCCGGCCTGGGGAGTGAGGGGCTCAAGGCCTGCTGGGTGATAGAAATGTGAACGTGGCACACAGTGAGCACGTCACAAATCCCTCTGCCTCCATTGTGACTCCATTCGGGAAAGCCTTGGATTTACAAGAGCACTTACTCGTCATCTGGGGTTAGCTGCACAGGTTCGCTGGTGAACTGCGTATCAAAGTTATCCAGACCATAATCATCGGTTATCTGAGGCTGAAAAGGAGGGAGGGCTTGCTTCTTCTCCAGCTTTGAAAAAGAACAAAACAAAGATCAAATGGTGTCCTATTTATAACATCAGTGTGCGAGATGCACCTTCCATATGCCACTCACTCAAAGAGGGAAGATCGGGGCCCTGGAGGGACCAGGGAGGGACCCCAGAGATGCCCTAGTCCACAGGGTTTGAGCAATCTTGGGTCTCTTAGACCCTTGGGCAGTTGGGGGAAGCCAGGAACAGACTCTTTCTGAGAATTAGGTTTTTAAATGCATAAAATATATGTAAGATTACAAAAGAAACCAACTATCTGGAAAGTTATAAAAACACAAAAGGAAAGCACATTCACAGACTCTAGGTTAAAAACTGCTGATCTAGCCCAACTGCCTTGCTTTGTAGAAAAAGACTCAGAGGGCCAGACAGGACCAGCCTTTTCTAAGGACAGGGCAAAAGCCAAATTTTGGAAACAGAAAAAAAAAAAAAGGCTTTCACGCCAAAGTTCATTCAACTGACAAGTCTTTATTATTAAGGGCAATTTGGATCCAGGTCTTTGGGTGTCAGGTGGCCACAACTCTATGCCTGAGAGCCCAGATGAGATAAAATCCCTGGTTCTATGTCATCAGTGTTGCTGCAGGATTGCAGAACCTCAGCAGTGTTTGAACCTAAGGCCTTGGAATTTCCTATCCTAAGGAAACACTTTGGGTTAATTAGAGCTGGCCCCAGGGGCAGTGGGCTCTCTCTCTGCTAGGCCCTTCACCAAGGGACATCTTCAGGCAGGGGTCTCTCTCATCCAGTGCTGAGGTTCTACAACCCTGGGATTCTATCTCCTCTGGGATCTCAGCATAGACTTGTGGCCCTCTGATGTCCAATGATGCTCTCTCCAAGGGCCCGTCCAACTGGCTGCCCAGGTTTCTTAAATTAATACTGGCAGCTTGTCTCTGACATTAGTTACAGGTTAATCTGGATAACAACCAAGTGTTACCATCTTTAAGTCAAAAAAGAAGTATCCATCTCTCCTCAAAATGGGAATGCTGGCAAAAGTCAGGACCCGCTCCCTCCACACTCCCCCACATACAAGTCTGGCCTCAGACCCCTTTAGCGTCATGATAAAAGGCAGTCTCTTCTTTGTAAGTTGCCCTGGTGGGGAGCACATCAGGGATACAAGATGGGAGTTGTAAATAGCTTTCTTTCATATCTCTCCCAACATCCCTCCAGCTCCGGAGGAAAGACTATTTTCAGCCCCGCTGCTAGGGAGAGACACTAAGCACTTCTCTTGGGAAAAGTGCTGCAGAGGGGAAAGCTCCCTGGGTGGGGAGTCGGAGGACCCGCGTTCAAATCTTGGTGCTGACCTATGTATGATTGCATGACTGTGAGGAAGTCAGTTAACTTCCCTGGGCTTCAGTTTCCCCATCTGTCAATCAGCCGAAGCATTTATGAGCTACTTCCTATGTGCCAGGCACTGTGCTGAGATGAGAGCTGGAGATACAAAGACAAGCTCGTGCCCTCAGGGAGCTTCCATTCTAACTGGCTTGGATCACACAGATTCCACAGACCATTGTATCATCAAACCTAAGATCTAGGTTCTCCAGAAAGAGCCACAGGCTCATCACCTCCCAGATCTAGGCCTGGAAGGGATCGTGGAGGTCACCTAGATGACACATTCTATAGATGAGGGAACAGAATGAGCGAATGAACAAAAAACTTATGCTTGGCACTGTATGAAGAACAACACAGCCTCTGCCCCAAGAAGCTCACATTCTAACAGAGGAAGACAAGACACGCAGGGGTGTGGTGCCCAGGGAAGAGTGCTTGGGCATGGGAAATTACAGGGATGGTGAGTGTGCCCAAGGTCATGGAGGCATCAAAGGGTAAGAGCCCGGGTAACTCTGAATCCTCTCCCCATAACTGGATTCCCACATCCCTCTGGGGGACCCTGGCACATTTATTTCCTCAACAAAGCCCCTAGGTAAGAGGAATTCATGCTGCTCCAGAGGTGCACCTTAAGGGCAGACCCCACCGTTGGGAGCTAGTGCTGTAAGATTAGGAGACTGACTTTAGTCCTACGAGCATGCCAAAGTGTTGGGGGTATTTTCCCCCTCTTCTGCTGTTGGAGCGCTACCTCCCACCCCCTTCAGGCCCAATTCTCCATAATTTGGAAGCTGAAATGGTCTCTCGGGTTCTTTCTGAGGCACACCCAGCTCGCTGTAAGCATCACCCAAGCTTTTTGATTTTGGCGTGGACTCTTCAGGGTCAGCAAGAGTCTAAGAGGATCCGATTGCAATGCATGTCTTGGCATTTCTTGTCCTTTATGTGAACTGTCATTCGATACCTCTGGAGGAGATTTTGGGGCAGAATCTGACCTGACATAGTCCCTCTGATATGATGATCTGGAAGGAGCTGCAGAGAGCCCAGCATATGTGTGCCGAACATGAAACTGTCTTTTCATAGGCGTTCTCCCCAAGACCAGGGCCTTGAGTGTGTTTTTTTTACCTCCAAAATGATGGCCAGATAAAAGGGGATACCTAATGTGTATATAATGCTTGCAAAGTGCTTTACAAACATCCCCTCATTCATCTTATCCTCACAGTCCTGGGAAGTAGGTCCCATTAGTATTGTCACCCCCATTTTGCATAAAGGGAGACGGAGGCAGACAGTGGGGAAGTGACTTGCCCCGGGTCACACAGCATCGGAGGCTGGATTTGAATTTGTGCTCTCGCCACATGTTCTACGAATGGAAAAATGAGCCTCTAGCCACAAGCCATTTAGTTCTGGAATCAAATTCAGTTTGTGGCAAAGTTAACCTGACACTTCTTTATGATGAATAAACCACCAAGGTACCAAGCAGTTCACTTTGGGGAATGTGATTAGCATTGCTTGCCTGAAAGTACCCCAGAGTGCCCAGGGTCTGAGAGGGAAAACACAGTGCAAGATGCCATCCCAAGGCCCACCCCCCAAGCACCCCAAACACAGAGATGCACACCCCAGGGGACTCCGGCAGCCGAGTCTTTTGTTTCTGTGGTGGGGGGCATCCATGACCAAGTCACCACAGACTTCCCCTTTTCTTAGGCAGCCTCCTGTAGGTGCATAAACTGTGAACTGGCCTCACAGAAAAACCTCCAGAAACTTGGGGCTGTCCCCACTGCCAGGAAGACTGAGGCTAGTGAATCTCTTGAGCATCAATGGGAATGGCTTGGCGAAGTAAAACTTAGGAATCCAGCTAACCAGAGAAGGTCTGACAAGCAGCACAGACCTAAGTCTCAGGAAGCCAGGTAAGGCTGGAAGGGTCAGGCTGCCGTAGGTAGACACAGGTCTGGAGGGTCAGGATGTCAGCCAGAGCAGACTCCACAGAAAGGGTCAGCTTCAGATGGAGGGACAGAGACTGCTTCCTGCCTCCTGAGCGAGGGTGGCCTTGTGCCCACAGGGACTGCTTTCGGCCAGAAAGAGAAGACTGGACAGCAGATGGGCCCTGCTTCACATCCAGGAAGGAGGAGATACGCCATTCATGATGATCCCACCATCCTCACCCCTTTCCTCAAAACCACCCAAAGATGAGCCTGAGCATCGTTATTCTCATTTTACAGTTGAAGAAAGTGAAGCACAGAGACTTGGGGGGTGGGGTGCAGCAGGGTTGACACAGCTAGTAAATATCCACAATGAGATTTGAACTCCTGACTCCAAGCCCTTGGCTCTTTCCACTACAAAATGCTGCCCTCTAGTGCAGAGAGTGGCACACAAACCTCGGGTAAGGGCCAGGGGATGAGGTGCAAGACAGAAAGGAAATCTCTCCCTTGCAGTCTTTTCACCTACATTCTCTCTAAGCACAAAACAAGACTACCCCTGAGCAGATATCGAGCTTCTACGCACTACACAAACGGTCTTCTTGGGGCACATACATCTGGATGAAATCACAATTACACCCATTTCTATAAAAGACATTATTTGGGGGTGATTCAGTAAAGCATCCGCCACCCATCTTTCTGTAGTTTAATGTTCCTTTGTCTATTAAGGTATGGCACATGAGGATTAAGGTGAGGAGAGTAAATCTAGAGTTGAAAGGGACCCCAGAGGCCAACTACCAAAGAGCTGCCCTAAAACCTACCAGATGGTAGATTTAGAGTCAGAGGAAATCCTGGGGTTCACAAAGTCCAACACGGTCCTTTTACAGAGGAGGAAACTGAGGCCCTGAGAGGGGAAGTAACACGGTCAAGGTCACACAGATAGTAAGTAGCAGAGGCAGGATCTTGAACCCGGGTTCTCTGGATCTACTGCACCAGGTGTTGCTTCCTCCATGAAAGCTGTCTAATTCTTGGTGTGTAGGTGCCCCCAGATTCTGGAAGGCTCTGTCTACACAGCACAAGCTCTGATAGGTTCACGAAGCCAAAAACCAACCTATTCATCAATAAGTATTAAGCACCATGAGCATCCATGGTAGGCTGGCAGTACACGTACAAAGAAACGATCTCTACTGGCAAAAAGCTCACAAGCAACATTTGGGCAATGTCTTAAAATGGGGAGAGTGCGAGGTCTGGAAGACTTAAGAACCCAAGTTCAAATACCACCTCTGTAACTAGCTGTGATTAGGAGGGCTCAATCCCTTTCTCATAGAATTTCAGAGTTGGAAGGTACGTTGGGTTTTCTTTAAGACTCAGCTCAAATGCCACCTTCTTGTAGAAGGCCTTTCCTGGTCCTCTCAGCGGCCAGTGGTTTTCCCTCTAAGGCTACCTTCCATCTACTCCATGTATCTGGTATGGCTCCAATTTACATACGTGGTGTCATCTGGATTAGACTGTAAGTGCCCTGAGGGCAGGCACTATGTTTTCTTTCTCTCTGTATCCACAACCCTTGGGCACAGTGCCTGGCCCAGCGTACGCACTTAGTAAGTGCCCTGCTCCTGGCTGGGGCTGAGTTTAGGAGTTGTGAACTGCAGAAAAGCTCAGATCACTCATATGGTGAGCCCTGCTGGTGGAGAATCATGAGGCTGCCTAATGAGGGGCAACCAGCCCATATTGGAAAAATGGTGCCGGTTAAAGCTTCT